CAGTTCAGATCAAACAGCTGTCTATAGCTGTGCTAGTTTAGTGTCTCATAGCACTCCCATCTGAAGCATCATGACAGTTCTTATACTCAGCTTTATGCAGTCTTGAGCATTGGAATATATTGAAGATGACGGCTGTCTAGACTATGACAGAGACTGATGCATCATTCGGTACTCAGATGAACTGAATATGCTGAACTTCCTTATGTTGGTGTGTGGTGCGGTTTCTCTTGCTCTTATTGTGGCCTCTGAATTGTTGTTGTCTGGCTGAGGTCAAAATATTGCTGTCTCTACCATGAGGACCTTTTAAGAGGTAATATTGTACTTGCCTGCATGCTTACTGCTTGAAGCTGAGGTGACAAATAAAACATTTAGGGGTGGGGAAATCAGAGTGCTGGTTGTAAATTTAATTTAATTAATTTTACATAATTAAATTAATTAAAAATTGCTTTTAAATATTTAATTTAATTAAAATTATTATTTAAATCTTTAATCAACTTCAACATAAATTTTTAAGCATTGCTTCATGTCCTTTGACCATTTATTTGGTATACCCATGTGATATACACTACTGTTAAACAAATCTTTAAGGTCAGTAAGATTTTTGTAATCAATGCATTTATTCATCAAGGATTTGAGTGAAAGTGACAATCAAGACATTTATAATGTTACAAAAGATTTATACTTCAATTAAATTTTATATTTTTTGAACTATTAATTTAACATTTTAAAATGTATCCACAATTTCTGCAAAAATATTAAGCAGCACAACTGTTTTCAACATTCATAATAATAATAAATGTAAAAATCAGCATATTAGAATGATTTCTGAAGGATCATGTCACACTGAAGACTGGAGTAATGTCTGCTGAAAATTCAGCTTTGCCATCAAAAGAATAAATTGTAATTTTTCAATATAACTGTATGCAGTCTTGGTGAGCACAAGAGACTTTTCAAAAACATTTTTCAAAGACACGGTATTGAACAGAATATTGTTGGTACAAAAGCATTTGACACTTAAAAGTACCCCAAATCCAAAACATCACATAACAGCTTACATGCCCAGTTTTTATCCTTGAAAATACAGAGAGCCAATGTTATTTTTCTGTAACGGATGCCTAATTCAGAATGAGAACACTCCTTTGTTCTAACTTTTCCAAAGACACAATGGAAGTGCTTCTTTTTCTGAAGGAGTTCCTCCAGAGCCATTTAAAAGGTTTCATATTTTCCACTCTGCGTGTGCAGGACATTTACAGTTGGCGTCAGAATATCAGTTGGTCTGAGGGGAGGCACTTTGAAGTGTTTGTGGTATCACCACATCTGCGGGCAAGATGTGCGCCCGACAGAGAGGGGGTGTTGAATATTGACGTCTTCTCCCACGTCATGTGACAATGAACAACATTCCTTAACTCTTTCTGGAGCAGACGCACGTTGTGAAAGTCTTCGCATCTTCATTCCACATCAGCGCCAACATAAGTTTGCACATGGAACTATGATCAGTGGCCATGTTTTTTCTTCTGATTAATGATGGACTTGGCCAAGGCGCTTATAAGACTCAAGGGGAGCCTCCATGCTAAGCAGTCCTTCAGTTAATTGCTTTCAGAAGGAGCCGCCTCAGGAGGTTACAGTGAAATGTGTCCTACAAAGACTTACATTTCAACAGTTATTATAATATAAAAAGCAAAGAGACTTTCTAAAATGACAGTAAACTGAAAAAAAAAATTGGAAATCAGAAATTGCTAGTAAATTTCATAAACAACTACAAAGAAATGACACGCTGAATTAAACACACTGGAGTAGAAAAACTGAAAGGGTATTTTCAGGTAAAACGTACTTAAAAAAAACTTCCTGGCTTTTCACACTTGAAATTGTTAACCCTGGGTCAATCGAAACCCTCGGTAAACTGAATCCTGGGTTATCTTGCTTCACGTTTCTCACTGCTTAGGGTTAACAATAATCCTGGGTGTTCACCCAAAAATGGGATAGTTCACCCAAAAATGAAATTTCTGTCATCATGTGCTCACCCTCAAGTTGTACCAAACCTATGAATTTCTTTCAGCTGTTGAGCACAAAAGAAGATATTTTGAAGAATGTGGGCAACCAAAGAGTATAAAATACTATGGAAGTCAATGGCCACCATCAACTGTTTGGTTGCTGCAAAAGCAGTGCTAACTCTGTCCTGGAGCAGAGTTTAATAACCCAGGGTAAAAAAGTGGTACTAACTCTGCTTCTAAGTGTGAAACATACTTTTACCCTGGGTTAAAAGCAGAGTTTAGAGCAACAATGACCCAGGGTTAAGCGCAGTATGAAAAGCCCTTTTGTTTTATTTAAAATGTCAATAAATCAATTTTAGTGTACAGTGTATGAATGGTTTGTGTGGTGATGTAGTATGAGGGCTCCTGTGTTTGATCCCATTTTGTTCTGTTACCTTATGCATATTATTGGTGTCAGACATGCATGACGTGCTGCTCACCTACAGGTCATACAAGGCATGTGCATAAAACATGAGAGGGAAGCCAGAGGACTGAACGAGTGTCAAGTAGCTTTTGAGGTGGAATGACTTCTGAAGTGAGTGTAATGACCCTGAAGGTCACACAGTAGTTTGATAAACGTTCCCTCAATGTTCTGGCCACAATTTTAACAAGTTCAGCCGATATAATTAAGTTGCTCTTTTTTTAATAAAAAATGGTTTCCATTTGGGATCAGTATCCTGATGTTTTTTCAATCTGTCAAAACAGTAAAAGCTCTAAATATAGCTAAATACCTTATTGACGCAAATTGTCAACAGTAAAATCACACTGTTATGAAGTAGTGAAACAAACAAGCTGGCTCGTAAATGTAGGGCAGCACCAATCCAGTCAGCCCACTGGCACCACACACATCCCACAGTCTGACACATGAAAGTACCTTCAGCTCAGTTACAACAGAACCACAGGACAGCAACTTCATCAACAGTTCAGTCTGCAATAACCATAACAGTCACACCACAGTCATTTTCACATTTCATTGATAACAAATGCGCTGCCAGTAATATACCAAATGGGCCGCCTTTTTTCGTAAGCCCCTGAGCTCTTCTGCGTATTCTCAGACAGACAGCAGTGGAGCCATTTGTTACCATTATTAAAGTCATATTTCACAGCTTTGCCTGTAAATCACGCTGAAATGTTTCAAATTAGTTGGATTACTGTTTTACTTTGCTGTTACTGCTGCAGTGCGTGCTAGACAGCTCTAATGTGTCAGAGGGTGGTTTGCAGGGTGGGCCGGGGAAACAAGCATTGTGTTGCGTGGTGGGACAAAAATGTGCTTTAGCAAATGACTGTGAGCAGAGCGGGCACTCGATGTGTTATTGGCATGATATACAGTGAATCCTCAAAACAGAAGCCAGTGAAATCATTAAAAGTTGAGCCCTGAATCTGTAAATGAGAAAAGGTATTATATGAGTGCAACATTACACCTGAAAATATTCCTAAACCACTGGCCAGCTTTCAAGGGACATCGGTGTCTGATTCAATGTCTCTTGTCTTATGGGAAGACAAAAAATAAATGTTCTGAATAAACATCTGAAAAAAAAGGTACCACAGGAGTGCAACGTAAACCTGAAAATATCCCTTGACATTGTCTTATTGAAGCATTAGCATTTGCTCAGCTTACTGTAAAACAGTGTTATGCATCATTTTTTAACATTATGCAACAAACAAACAAAAATAAATTAATGAATTAATGAAAGTTTAGCCTTGACTGTGATATATCTAAAGAAAAAAAAAGTACCATGTGAGTGCAACTTTAAACCTATACATATGCTTTAAATGTTTGTCTGTTGTCTTATGGAAATATTAACATTTGCTCAACTTGCTGTAAAACTATGTTTGTTTGGTTATTTTAGCCAAATATGTTTATTTACTATTTATTTACCTTATCAAATGAATGAATGAATATTTTGCCCTGGCATCTGGGGGGAAAAAAGTATCCCACGAGTTAAGTATTTGACCTGAAATTATTCCTAAAAAAAAAGCTGACATGTTTTCAAGGACTAGCATTGTGTTTCAATGTTTGTTGTTTCATGAAGACATTAGTATCACTCAAATACTTTATAAAAAGCTTATAGCCCTGACTGTGATTCATCTAAAAAAAAAATATTAAACCTGGAAATATCCCTAAAAATGCTGGCCAGCTTTCAAGGGCTGACCTGTACATGGATCCAACTGGATGATTCATTATGAGAAATGAAATCATTTAATTATGGTAAACTGGTTTCGGGTAATGCTATGACTCACATGTGTGAGCCAGCGTAGATCATTATAGTATTGTATAACTGGTAAAGGTCACTAGACTGAATCCGTGGGAACTCATGAAGAGAGTATATCCGCTGTGCTGTGCCATAGTCTGCTGAGTTTAGTAACACCGCTATATGTAGGCCACCGATGCTGTTGACATTGTTTTCACTATTCCCAAACATTACGGATTCTCTCAGTCTTTTAAAACGTAACACACTCAATTGGTGTTCACTTAGCATTCATTGTGCTGTTTATTTACCATCTAATTATCTTATAAAAAAAACAGCAATAAATAAATATGTATGTATATGTATTCCTAATGAAGAAATGCATGTTTGTTGACTTATGGAAAAGTTGGTTAACTTACTGTAAAACAATGTTAGACAAAGTTGTTTATTTACCACTTATTTACCTTATCAAAAATGCATAAACAAACAAACTAATAAATATGAATTCCCTATATGAAGAAATGCTTGTCTGTTGTAATTAAGTTGTACGATTTTAAGATGAGTTGTAGCCTAAGATAAAACATATAATTAACTTCTTTAGAGACAGCCTTTTTATTCCAACAATTAATCTGGAAACACTATACCATTATATTATTATTTATGAAAAAATACATTTTTAAAAGAGACACTGCTGTTGCAAACCTTGGACTTGCAGTATTCGGTGTACTCCCGTCCTCCAGATGGCGAGCGCGCTCAGCTCAGGCGTCTGTCCCTCGCCGACTCATCAGATGTGATAGCGGGTCAGTGGAGAAGTGCGGTGCGGATGAGAGATGCTTTGATTCGCATTCATGTCAACAGTCTGAACAGCTAACCAAACCAAACCGAAGTCTCGCGCTTTCACATGAACGGAATAAAATGCAGCCGGATGAATCGCAGTATTTGCAACGGTAAGTTTAACATTTAGCTTAAATGTACATCACAATATGACAGCGTTATGTTGAGTCGATTATTTCCATCTATTAAAGGAGAGGCACTGCATATATCATGTGTAGATTATAATCTGTGAGTTTACCCTCACCGGTTTTATTTTCGACGAATTATTTTATTATATTTTCTATTGTCGTAACGTAAATCTGGGTCAAATTCATCCGCTTCACTTGCAGATGGGCGTGGCCTACTGTAACCATCCCCTTATGATACCAGTGTCTCGGCTCATCTAGACATTTGTGTCATATTTTTGGGCGGTTTCCTAGTCATCTGCACCTATGATGAACGCTCTTGCGTTGCCCAGAAATGCTGTGTAGGTTTGGCAGCTCACTGTAGGGTTTGAGACACTGCCAGTGTTTAAAGGGGTCATATGATGCGATTTCAATTTTTCCTTTCTCTTTGGAGTGTTACAAGCTCTTGGTGCATAAAGAAGATCTGTAAAGTTGCAAAGACTAAAGTCTCAAATCCAAAGAGATATTCTTTATAAAAGTTAAGAGTCAGCCACACCTACCTAAAACTGCTCGTTCTAACACGCCCCCACATATCTACCTCACTATGTGGGAAGATTTGCATAACGCCACCTAAATGTTCACGCAAAGAAAGAAGGCGTAACTTTTAGTCTTGCTTTAGTATTGTTGACGCTGCAGCCATGTCGTGAAGGTGCTGTGTGCTTCGTTGTGAAAGCGAAACTACTTTGTTTGGTCTTCGAAAAGAGGACGATATCCGCTTCTTCATGCCTAGAGCTGATCTGTGCTGTTCTGACTCATGTAAGTAGGTTTTCATTTAAAGGATTTGCCACTGATGATTCAAACACAAGTTTGTAGCAGTGTAGAGTAGCACTTGTTGTTTGTCATTTCTCTGATCACAAATGCAGACAGAGTTTATGTTTACGCGGCGCAATGCAATGCAACGCGTAAAAAGACAGTATAAGTCATTATAATCAGTAATTATGTCCCCACTGGATGCAACAAATGCCTCGTTTGTAATGGGTTTTAATATTTATGTCTCGTCGCTCCGGCCGGGAACGGCATCAACAGTATGTGAGGAGCGTAACATTTCCGTCAAACACTTGAGGTATTCAACCAATCACAACGCACTGGATAGCTGGCCAATCACAGCACACCTCGCTTTTCAGACCAATGAGCTTTGTAAAAATCGACGCGTTTCAAAAAGGCGGGGCATAGAGGAGAAACAATAATGTACAGTGTGTGGAAAATAATGTGTTTTTTTTACTTTAAACTGCATAAACACATTTCATTACACCAAATACACAAAATAATGTTCTTTTTAGCAACATCATATGACCCCTTCAATGCAACTCACTGTCACATCCAATCTTGATCTCTCCTGTGTCTATTAGGAACTGTAGGACTGGTGATATAGATGTGCAGCCAACAGAAAAGGCTCTAGGGGTGCACTATGATGTGGAAGCATCCATTTTAGGAGAGACATGCAATGCCAGGCATGAGGAGAAAAAGAGTGCCAGAAAATGTAAGCAGAGATAAGCTGTAAACCTGTATACAGCATGTTCACACATTTATATTCTCCATTGTTACATTTATTTATAGATTTTTTTTTTTTTCACATTTGTGTCTGTGTTTGTTGTTTAGCATCCGGCTGAGGAGTCTGAATGCCAGCACTGATATTTCCGCCCTGGCCAGGAAGGTGGTGGAAGAGTGTAAAGTAATTCATCCATCAAAGCTGGCGGAGGTGGAACATCTGCTGCTGTATTTACAGAACCGAAAGAAGCCCAGCAGTAAATGTAAGTACCTCTTTAAAACATATTTCCCAATGAATCATTTTTTGGTGGACTTTTATATGAGCAACTCACAATCTTTTTATTTTAGTAATGTTTATTTATCTATTTATTTTTATGTATCATATCACATTTAATGGTGACAGCGTTTGTTGTTTTAATGTTGTCTGTCCTTACCGGAGAAGAAGGAAAAGAAACCATCGAAACCCAGAGAACTTCTGCCATTTGAAGGAATGGAAGTACACACATTTTAAGTTACACATTTTATGGGTACTTAGAGCTGAGAAAGTGAATGTGTTAACACGTGATTAATTAAACATGTTGAATTGTGCTAATTTTTCATATGTTTAACGCTGGCCTGGGTACTGAGAGAGGACTGGAAGCACAGTGTGGAGCTAGCAACTACTCTCATCAACATCTTGTGCTTCTCAAGGTACACAATTTTGGTACAGTTTATTTGGTCTTTTTATCAACAGCCATATTCATTTTTGTTGTGGTGCATTAAAGGGCCTGAAATAGAATCAGGTAGACAGTGTTCGAGGAGGATTTTAGTGTGCTGACAGCGTGCTGATCTTTAGTGTGCTGTCTGCACGGTGAACTCTCTCTGAGAAGTGGCGTCTCCAAATTCAACCCCTTTTAGCATCACACCGCTGCGGCCATCGAAACACAGCTTCAAATAACAAATTCAATGCTTCAAAATTACATTTCAAGACAGTCACTTTCAATCAGACTTTAAATCGCCTACTGTGAGCAGTTGTTTTTGTTATGATGGGAATGTAATCTGTAACGTAATCTCTGTGGGGAGTCTGGGAACAAAGAAAGACTTACAGAGACACTATTGACCACACAGTGGTTGAACTCTTAAATACATCTGTTGCGCTCCATCCAGCTGTTTTTGAACACAAACACACATTATGTGGCTTCCTTATGACTAGTAAACTAGCCATTCAGATAACTCATAACTAGTAGATTTTGAAAATATGTACATACTGTTCAAACGTATGGGGCCAGTAAGATTTTTTAAACATTTTTTTAAAGAAATTAATACTGTTTTGCAGGATGCATTAAAATGGTCAAATGTAACAGTAAATACTTCTACATTGTTACAAAATATGTGTATTTCAAATAAATGCTGTTCTTTTGAAAAAAGTATTGGTTTCTACAAAAATATAAAGCAGCACAACTGTTTTTTTTATTTTTTATTAATAATTAGAAATGGTTCTTTAACACTAAATCTGGATATTTGAATGATTTCTGAAGAATCAAGTGACACTGAAGACTGGAGTAATATTTAATGAAAATTCAGCTTTGACATCACAGGAATAAATTACCTTTTAAAACCATATTCAAATATAAAATGGGTATTTTAAATATTATTTCACAATATTACTGTTTTTACTGTATTTTTGATCAAATAAATGCAATCTTGGTGAGCATAAGAAACTTCATTTAAAAACATTGAATCTTGCTGACCCCGAACTTTTGAACGGTAGTGTAGAGGGAGAAGTACGCAGCATATTCTATTTTGGAGGATTAATATACTACCTCTATTTTAAAAATTTTTATAGAAGCAGATTGCATACCAGATATCATTCTGATATAGCTCTTGTATGAGGTTGAAAACCTTAAGAAAACTGGGATACGCTCTCAAAACGTCTTTAGTAGCTGCAGATCAGGTTACTGCTTTCACTGAGATAGCTGTCAGCATTCATTTGAGCTATTAAAGTGTATGCTCTCACTTGATGGTTTTCCTTGGCTCTCAATTGCAGATGGCTAATGTGGAAATTTTTTTCACAAGCTAGAATGTCTTCGACGTTTGAAGGATGTATTTGAAATGTATGATGAGTTGTTTGGCCTGATCTTTCAGCTCTGTTTATGTACTAATCAGGACTAGAGTATGAAATTCATCTGGCACGTCCGTCTCGGTGTCTCTGCATACCAGCCATTGTCTAGTTCTCAGATTGCATCGCATACATCAGTGTCTGGCAGAAGATGCCAGGAGAGGTCGGGGGAGGACAGACCCTCACCTCTCGTCTTCTTCCTGCAGTTTCTCACAGTTCCATGGACTCATTACGCACTATAAGATTGGCGCACTGTGCATGAACATCATCGAGCATGAGCTGAAGAAATATGACCTGTGGCAGGATGAGTTAGAGAAGAAGAGCAAGGCTTTTATCCTTTTTGTCACTCTTTTCAATCAAAAAATTAATAGCACAAAATAAATGTGATAAACGAACTAGATTATTCCTTAAACATATCCACGTGACGAGGACCCCGAAAACCAGAGATTGCGGAAGGAGCATGAGAAAACCCTTAAGAAATACCAAAGCCTCCTGGTCAAACAGGAGCAGCTGCTGCGAGGTACAGGAAGTGAAATGTTTTATGTGGCACAGTGTAGTAGGAATCATCCATGAGGCCTTGTTTATGTGTTCCTCTTCCTCCCCATGGCTCTAGTTGCGTTCTACCTGCTGTTGAATCTGTCTGAGGACACCCGCACGGAGCTCAAGATGAGGAACAAGAACATTGTGCACCTGCTGGTCAAGTCTCTAGAGAGGGACAATGAGGAGCTGCTGGTGCTGGTGGTCTGCTTCCTCAAAAAGCTCAGCATCTTCTTGGAGAACAAGAATGACATGGTGAGATCTTCTTGTTGTCAAACACATCAGAAGCTTTGAAATACAATTTCATGAGTTATAAAATCATTAAACGCTGCTGGTCAAAAGTTTGGAATATTTGAGTGTTTTGAAGGTTTTAAAGGAAGTCACTTATGCTTACCAAACCTGCATTTATTTGATGAAAAATACATTAAAAACATTACTGGTAATATTGTGAAATATTATAACAATCTAAAAGAACGTATAACTGTATTCTATTTGAATCTGTTTTAAAATGTAACCTATTTCTGTGATGCGGAGGGGAATTTTCAGCATCATTACGCCAGTCTTCAGTGTCACATGATCCTTCAGAAATCATTCTAATATTCTGATTTGGTGCTCAAGGACATTTCTTATTGTTACCATTATGTTAAACTTTTTGCTGCTTTGTATTTTTGTGGAAACTGTGATTCACTGCCATTCAAAAGTTTGTTATAAGAATGATTAAAAAATGTATATATATTATTAAATTGATCAAAAGAGATTTCAAAAAAGATTTCAAATTCTGTTCTTTCGAACTTTCTATTCATAAAAAACATCCTGAAAAAGTTTCCACAAAAATGTTAAGCAGCAAAAGATATTTTCAACAACAATCATTATTTTTAATTGAGCACCAATAATAAATGGTAATATTTGAAAATCAGCATATCATAATTTTTGAGGGATCATGTGACACTGAAGACTGGAGTAATGATGCTGAAAATTCAGCTTTGCCACCACAGGAATAAATTATATTTAAAATATATTAAAATAGACAACAGTTCTTTTAAATTGTAATAATATGTCACAATATTACTGTTTTTACTATATGTTTTAATCAAATAAATGCAGCCTTTGGTGAGCAGAAGAGACATAAAAAAATTGATCAATATATAAAAAAATGATTTAAATATATAAAAAAAAACAATAAAAAAAATCTAAATTATTCAAAACTTTTGACCGGTATATGTAGATATAATATAAATATGATGCATTTTATTTAAGCATAAAGCTGCACCTTTAAGGTGTCCTGGAGAATGATGGGGTCATTTATATCAGGAAGTTTCTGTCATTGCTGAACTGCGATTCGTCCTGGTTGTCCTACACTGCTCCACTGTCACTGCACCTGGAATCAATCTACTCTGGCTATGAATGTGCATTTATCAAGACAGAAGTTGTTTTTTCCCCTGTATCCCTTAACCAAATCCTTGTTGTAGATAAAAGAAATAGGCTTTGGCTTTGAAAATCTTTCATCATGTTGTACATAAAAACACATGTTGGACAAAAAAAAAAAACCTCTGGCTATTGTAGGAGCAGCTGAGAATAGAAGATGATTCTGTTTGTTTCTTCAGACTAAGCCGTTAAAAGATTAAATAATTTTATATAGTAGTTTCTTTCGACATCTAATTTAAAATGTACTATTTATATTTCACTTGTGCCTTTGTAACAGGCTGAAATGGACACTGTGAAGAAGCTGGCTCGTCTGGTTTCATGTGAAGATGAAGAGCTGATGAACATCACTCTGCGACTCCTCCACAACCTCTCCTTTGACACGGGCCTGCATACCAAAATAGTGCATGTGGGTTTGCTACGCAAACTCACTGATCTGCTGGGTAACTCTCTTTCTAACCATCATATCAAGGGAGATTGCCTAAAACCCTCAGTTCGAGATTCTGTAGAAATAGTGATCATTATACAGTGGGGCAAAAAAGTATTTAGTCAGCCACCAATTGTGCAAGTTCTCCCACTTAACATATCCTACCATTCAGAAGTAAGATTTTTTTCATGCATTTCATGTTTTATTCTCACCAAGGCTGCATTATATAAAAAAATGCAGTAAAAGAGTAATATTGGGAAATATTATTACAATTTAAAATAAGGGTTTTCTATTTTAATATATTTTAACATGTAATTTATTCCTGTGATGGCAAAACTGAATTTTCAGCAGCCATTACTTCAGTTTTTAGAAATTATTCTAATATGCTGATTTGGTGCTCAAGAAACATTTTTCGTGATTACCAATGTTAAAAACAGCTGTGCTGCTTAATATTTTTGTGGAAACCATAATATATATATATATATTTAGAATTATTTGATGAATAGAACGATAAAAAAAAACAACACACAATTTATTTAAAATATTTTGCAACATTATAAATGTATTTACTATCTAATGAATAAAAAGTATTCCTTTCTTAAAAAACAAAACAAAACAAAAACTTACCAACCCCAAGCATTAATATATACATTATTATTATTATTTGTTTTTTATTTCTTACTGTTTAAAAACTACGGCTATAAATTCAGTGTTAGTCACATAACTAATATTAATCACATAAAATTCCAACAACTTTTTAAAAGTTGAAATATGAAATGGTAATAGTTAAAAACATTTACTTTATTTCTTAAGGTAACTTTAACAACCCTAAAAATACATTTTGCAAAATCTTCTTTTCCTCTTTAATTTTTTTGTGCACTTTCTACCACCTTCTTAATAGGTGTCCCTGGACCTGTTTGAAAACGTCTAATTTAGAAAAGCTTGTAGACCAACTCTTTGCACATCTAATCCAAGCCCAGAAATGTTACTTTCTTAAAGCAGTAGATTAAAAATGAACTGGATAATATAATTTTCCTCTTTTCCATTTGAAATCAACCTTTTTGGCCCAGCACGCAATGAGCGAAAACTCACATGAATGATGTTAATGGAAAAATGACATTTGTAAGGTTTCAAATTAAAGTTATCTTTAGATGTGTATTATACACTCTTATCTTCAAACTAGAAAGAGACTATTTAAGGTTGCATCCAAGGATTTGCGTTGGAAAATCAGTAATGTTGAAATGTTTGAAAACCACCATATGATCTATATCAGAATAGTTGTCTTTACAAGCAGTAGAATATACAGTTACATTGAAACCGAGAACCTGCTTTGGCAGAAGCTGGTGCAGATGATGGAGGTTTGGCTTAAATTGCGGCCATTTCTATCCGATACCCTGACTCAAGTGAAGCCGAACACATTTACTCAGTGATTATGAGTTCAGCTAGTCATGTCAGAGGAGAATAATTCCTCTTTGTGTCTGTTTTCATTTTCAGTCGTTCACAACATTTCAACAGCACTTTTCATGCATTTCTGTCAGGCATCCACCACAATATTTCTAGTAATTTGATGCATCATATGACATGCATCTCTGTTCCTGACCAGCTCGAATTACTCCTCCACATCGAAATGAAGTAGAAGCTGCTTTGTAAATCCTTCTCGTGATTACATCTAAGGGCTTAATTGTGTGTTTTTTCAATGTGTTAGCCATTTACGCTTCAACAGTTAGGGCTGAGTTTAAGAGAATGCCTGGCTGCTGTCGTAAAGTCCGTCTCCGCTTACTCTCGCTGAGGTGAGGCAGCGACGCGGGTCAACGCAGTCTGCGGCTGCTAACGAGAAGCACATGTTCCGCCACCGAAGGCCTGCTCAGGACGGCCCTCGCTTATTAATGCCGCTATATGCCTCCTCCTGTGTTCCCAATTAAATAAACTAAGCAAACCTCTTCTTTACCTACTCAGCTTTCCCTCACTCTCTCTTCCTTTTTTATCCTGATATCCCCAGCGGTCACATCTGCTTCTAATCGCCGATGTGATAATGTGTTCTAGGGTGTCTCGGGTCCCGACTGCCACGGTCGGACTCATAATGACTGATTATGCCATTGCTCTATCTGAGTGTTTCCTATCTCACAGGGGAGGATCAGCATTAGGGAAGAAGAGGAGGAGGGCGAAAAGTGTTATTAATGAGTGTTTGTAGGGAGTAGCGTGAGTGTGTGTGGTGCGTGTGTATCTGCAGTCTCTCTCTCTCCCTTCTGGACTGAGTTTGGATTGTAATCACATACCCCACATGCTCTTATCTATAATCTCCGTGATAAATGACTCGCTCTCAGCACGAGCCAGTATAAATACATTACCTAACTGAGCGCGACTGATCAATTTAGATAGCGTTTGAAAAGTTTACATGCGTTGTGAATCTCCCTGAAGATTTTTTTTCTCATCTTTTCTGTAGGTGATGACACACACAAGCACATAGCGATGCGTATCCCCTACCATATCAGCGTGGACGACAAATCTAAATCCATGTTCGCGTATACAGACTGCATTCCTCAGGTCAGCGTCTTCACTCTATTCACTTTTGATTGAGATTGGGGCTTTTGATAATTGATTATTCTATTGGTTATTTTTGAAATGTAGAGGTTATGATATAAAGAAACATAACAAAACATTTTAAATGACCAAATAAATGATATTAAATAATATTAAAGGGATAGTTCACTTACCCATACCCTCATGTCATTACAAAACTTTTTTTTCTTCTTTGAAACATAAACACAGTAAAAGAAGATATTTCGAAGAATTCTAGTAATTAAAAGCATTCGGTTTCCATCAACTTCCATTGGATCAATACAAATTTCAATGGAAGTCAAAGGAAACTAGTGAAACACCAGTACCTGCCATTTTTAAAAAGAGGTGTAAACACAGTTTACATAGACTTACTCCACGAACATGGAAAACAGTGATGGATGCACTGAACCCAGATACTTCTGTTTCCTCCATCATGATTAAACGACATCGCTGTCGCCTGGCTTACGTCACTTCAGGGTTCCTAACTGATAATGAAATTCATTATTGTTGTTTTTTTTATCATCAAGTGAATTATTAGTTATTAATGTAGATTATAAAAGCTGTTTATGTGGGTTAGGGTTAGGGTTAGGGTCAGGCAGGCCAAAATGCGTTCTGTGGTGATACTGATTAAACTTTTAAGAAATTTGTATGTCTTTTTTTGTATGTTTAGAATTAAAAATTTGTATAATTCTTATTGCAGCATTACTGTATACACTTCTAATTACTAATTTTAAATATAGTAAGTAAAGCAGTATGTACTTATCCTGTAGGATCCTGTAACGCGTTATCGCGTTAATGCATTAATTGATTAACGCCGACAATTATTTTATCGTGCATTAATACAGTTTTTATTATTATGAAAGTCCGTTGCTCACTGGCTCTGAATACACATACAGACAAACCATGGGTCACAGGAGTGGTGGGATGTTGATCAGTACTGGCTTGGGATGGGTGTCATCACGCGTCTCAACCAATGAGAGCATATGGGGTGGACCTAAGACTGCAGCAGCGCTCACATGAGCGCTCCCGATAAAAGTATTTAGGCTAAGCATCAACATTCGCAAACCACTGTGTTCATTGTTATTTTTAACAGAAAAAATGCAACGTGCTCGTAATAACGACTTCATAAGTAGGAAATAGGAAGTTTCCGATGGCATGTGAAGACCGCAGAGAAACCTTTCGCTCAGCACAGTGGAGTGCATCGTTTCGTTAACTTTGTGGTTTATTATTTGAGTCTTTTGGCACGTGGTAACACACGGCCCTCTCACAATATATTGCTTTACAGATCTATCACTTTTGCCGCTCATAAATGTTCACGCAATCATGCAGCGCATATCAGAAGTTCAGCGCTCTGGCACTACATGCGTGCCGCGCCCGAGCCCAACTGAACCATGCTCTGGCCCACCTCTTCCAACCGAGCCAGGGATGGCTAAACGAACCGCGCCCGAGCGCGGCACGGAGCGATCACACTAGTCAAACGAACCAGGCTTTGGGGGTCAAACGCACTCGGGCATGATTAAGATTGCCTAGCCTAGATTGCGTTGGGTCCCGCGATAGTGCAGGTCTCTACTCGGAAGGTGCCTGTTATAATGTTATGATCGAGGCTCTGGACTCTGAGCAAAACTTGTTTTTCTATACCAAACTATAAAATATTTTCTATAAAACGTTAAGCGTTATAAGTTGACATTTACAATAAATATTTTAACTGCTACTATGTAAAAGGAATACTGCTGTAAAAAAGCACCTTATTTGTTTAAAGTGTTTGCAAACCAAATGTTATTGCACTTTTGTTCATATAGCAGTGCTTTTAAATGAAAAAAAGTGCACAATACACTAGCCTACTTTTGAATTCATTATTGAATTTTGTGCATAACAATGCGATTTTTGCTGCTGTGGTGTGCCAGGTATGTACTGTATCATGTGTGCACCTCACCTTATGCTGTAAAGTGGGCTAATTGCTGCACTGTCTTTCTCTCACATGGCGTTAATGAGATAACAGAGCTAATTTAATGGGAGGGGGGCCTCTGTGGGGTCACCAGCAATTGCCTGGGTACAATTTCTCTGAAACAACTTCTGCCCGAGCGTTGTCATCTTTAAAATGCTTGTCTTCTCTAATTGGGTGAAAATGTCTACCAGATGCTTGTTAAAAAAAAAAAAGTTAAATTCCTCAACCTAATCGTTCTGCCAATCCGCCTGGAGACAGTCAGGGCATGATGTCAGAATAGCTGTGGGACTCCTTTGGGAGGTATGCAATGCTTTTCTTTCTTTCTTTCTTTCTTTCTTTCTTTCTTTCTTTCTTTTAATACTCATTTGTTTATTTGTTCTTTCATTTTTTTATACATTCTTTTTTGTTTGTTTATTCATTCTTTCATTTGTTTCTTTCTTTAATACATTTGTTCATTCTTTTTCTTTCATTTGTTCTGTCTTTCAGTTGTTCATGCTTTTGTTCTTTTTCTTTGGTTCTTTCATTCTTGCGTTTGTTTATTCTTTCTTTTTCTTTTCTTGTTTTCTTTCCTTTGTTATTTTGTTCATTCTTTTGTTCTTGGGTTTTTGCATTTGTTTATTCATTTGTTCACTCTTTTTATTTTAATTTTTTGTCCTTTATTTTCCTTTCTTATTTTGAAGAATCCCCTGACTCTTCACTAGTAGCTTCATCTGTGTGTCCATTTGTGTCTGTGGATCTGGGGTCCCTCAGGTCTGTGCTGGCAGTTAGACTGGACTCTCTTCTGTAAGGGAGATTTTAGATCAAACAGCCTCGCTGCTCTGGGTTCTGAACTGACGAGAAGAGGCTCGGCATTGGACCCATTCCTCTTCCACAAAGGGGTCTCGCTATAATTACTCAAAGCTGTGTGTGTGTGTGTGTGTGTGTGTGTGTGTGTGTGTGTGTGTGAGGAAATGCTCGCAGGGCTTATGGAGCTATGAAACCATGGAGAGCTCAGAGACGGAGGTGGGAGGGAGGGAGGGGATGACTCAGGGGTACGAGGCAGGGCCTCCCATTGCTGGTAAATAGGAGCAAGCAGGTGCCAGTGAGTCTAGACTGCGTGATTTGAAGGCCAGGGACCAGGTTATGTGATACTCAATATGGGAAAGGCCTGATTGCTCACTGCTGCTTCTTCACAGGCCTGCGTTGGTCTGTTTGTTCCTTCCTGTTCAACATCCAACTGGCCCACACCATGGCCCATGCCCATTGCGGCCTATGGAGCTCCTCTCTCTTCATCTGTTCATCTTCTTATCCCTCTTTTTACCCACACATGCTGAATCCATTGGCCAGTGGCCAGTGGCCAGTTATCTCCTTAAGATAGGCCTGTCAAGTCTCTCTCATTGGGCTGTTATCAGTTGCAGCATTGATCTGATTGAAGCGGACTGTGGGATATTTTCTCAACTCTCTCTGGCTTTTGAATAAAAACACAAATAGCAATCCTTTCGCCAACACTGACAGCACTAATACTTCTCCCTGTCAGGAACCACCTCTTTCATCATTTCTTTCTTTTCTTTTGTTTTTACCTCTGACTGTTCCACGATACTCCACATGCAATGCTCCTCAGTTTTGAAATGTTCTTCATTAGGGCCATTGTGATATCACTCTCTGAGGACATTTGGAAACCACAAATGCGTCCTGATCTGAAAAACTATTCCAGGCTTCACATTAGATTAAGCTTTTCAATGTACTTGTCTGTCAGACAGGTGTCAGCCCAAATTAAAGTGGTTGTTGTTGTTATTGTTGTTTTTTCATTATTGTTATTAAATAGTACTGTAATACTATATAATAGTAATAATATAGTAATATTATAATATAGTACTAATAATAGTATTATTAGTGATTTTTTAAAATTGCAATTAAAATTTAATTGTAACAAAAAAATAATAGCACTACAACTCTTAATATAAATAATAATCATCATAAAAATTATGCTTAGATAATCTTTTTTAATAAAATATTGATGTCCTGATTTTTACAATAGTTAATAGGGGAACCTGAAGCATGGCATGCGGTATAAGTGAACTGAAAGGATTAAATCGGTCTAAAAGTTGTGCTAAATATGCCATCATGTTAATCAGTGTGAGCTGTAGCGAATCAGCTCAAAGGGGAAATATGAATAATTAATCATAACTAGTTATAATTAATTATAAATATTTAGATCCGCTGTAAGTATTTACTTGACCTCTCAGGGTCAACTGTCTGTCAATTCTAAGAATGTTAATTTCCTGGTTAAGGGAAATAACTTACTGTACAATACTACTCATGTACTAGCATGTAGCAGAAATCTGCATGATTAGGGACTACGATTATGAGCAAACAATGAACAACCTCAGGTGTGATACAAGTAAGACTTTATTAACTACATAAACACTTAAACTAGTCTAACATACACCTACACACACACACGTACACACACGCATACAGTTGGTATAGGAACAGGATTAAAGCTTAGGCAGTAAAGAGAAAAGAAATAAAGCATGAATCTATGGGACCATTGGATATTCAGCAGATCTGCAGCCTGAAGGAAACATCAGTTTCTTAGTTCAAAAATCCCAAGCGGGAGTTTGGAAATACTGGGGAGTTTTATGACCCATTGTGTGAAAGCATGGTAATTTGCTTATGGAACTTGAATCGAAATTACTAATGATTCTAAGAACACTAATATATTGCCTATGTACCAACATATAATATACACGCTTGTTTAGATCATCAGAAGACGAATTCCTAGATACTAAACATGATAGGATTACACACAGGTAAGATGACAGGAACGAGTGGTTCCATCATAAGATACATAAAACAGTATACAATATAAAAGACAATATACAAAGACAGTAACAACATAAACAATGACCTGAAGGATATGTGTGTTCATTCAAAGAAAGGTTTTCCTATGAATTAATTAGAGAAGAGTCCATTTTTACTGTGCATTGTGTCTTTCCTATGGAAAATGTAGTGAGTTTCTCTACCCACATTCCTTTGGGCAATAAAACCAGTGATATCAGCATTGGTTGCCATGGAATCAGAGGCCTATTGTCGTTCGCAGACATCCTGGCACCCAGTATGTTTATTGGGTGAGGGGTCTGTGACTATTTGTTAATCTAATGAATAACTGATTTGTTCAATCTAATGAAAAATGGTGTGTCTGATTGGTCCAGACGCTACAGAGCCTTCAAGCATGTAGTAGACAGTTTCCTGCAGTTGTGATATTTTAGTTTAAATACATTTGCTGTTGCCTCTGTAAAAAGTACAAACTCTGTCAATGCACGTTTTTGGTGCCCTGTTTGCAGCAGTAAAGAAAGTTTGGAAAACCTCAGAGTTTCTGATTTTTTTCTGTTTGTTTCTGTGTGTGAGCAGCTCATGCAAATGGTCTTTGAACATGGCGAAGAGAGAATCGACACCGAGCTCATTTCCTTCTGCATCAACCTGGCTGCTAATAAGACTAACGCTCAGATTATCTGTGAGGGTAAGAGCCGGAATGTAATTCTCCTGGAATAACATGCAGTGCTGAGCAACACTGTCAAAACATCTGTGTTTACATGTCATAAAGCATACTGTCACACATCAGCAACAGCTGTTGCTCTTCTGTAATAAATATTACATGAAATCTGCTCAAATTTATGATCAATCTCTGGCTGAACATGGTTATTTGTGTATTTGCTCTGTAGGTAATGGATTGAAGATGCTGATGAAAAGAGCACTCAAACTGAAGGACCCGCTGCTGATGAAAATGATCAGGAACATCTCACAGCACGATGGACCTCTGAAACAGCTCTTCATTGTAAATACAATATTCTGCCATTCTATTAAGAGTCACAAGTTACACATTATAAACATTTAAAACATCAAAGCATCATTTAGCATTGTTGTATTGACTTTCACTTTTAAGCTAAAAACAATACATAGTGTGAGCGGTAAATTATAATAATTAAAAATTATTACAGATTAAATTTTAAAAACATTATTATTATTATCTTATTATTCTTTTATATATTTGATAGCCCAAATATTTTTTTAATTTGTAATTTCATGAAGCAAAATTGAAATCTTAAAGGGGTCCTATTATGCTATTTTACAAAGTCTTGATTTTGTTTTGGGGGTGTACAGAACAGGCTCTCATACTAGGTTGTTCGAAAAACACATTATTTTTCACATATTTTACATTATTACAACACCTCTCTCCCCAGTCTGGCATGAACGGCTCGAATAGTTCCTGTATCAAATGAAGGCCCGCCTTCTGAAATACGAAATGTGCTGTGATTGGTTAGCTGGGTCAGTGTGTGTTGTGATTGGCACCACTCGGCACCTGGTCGGGAAAAGCTTCAGTGCAAATATTGCATCAATTTCAAATAAATATGAGCACGATTTAAACCCGGATGATTGTAACCACTCTAAGTTCGTCTGCCTTGGGAAAGCTAGCTCTGCGGGAGATGTGCGTCTGACTCCGGGCTACTTTTACTCTGTTGCCACGGGTTATAATGCAAGTTAGCGGTTCTAAATTCAGATTAAACCACAGCTTCATGGGTTTTTTGCTCTGATTTATTTTTGGTTTTGTGCTGGTATTGGTATATTTTGCGTGCTAGTGATAGGAATCGATCCCTTGACATGATTGGTTATTGGTTTGTGACGTAGCAAACTAAGGGCTGTTTCAAACCATATTTCTGGGTCAGCCATTGGGAAACTACAGTTTTAAGGAGAAAATACTCAGCAATGGTGTTAATTAATAGATTGGCACATGGTTTGTCTAAAAGCATATTAAAAACACCACATAGACAAATAAACAACATAAAAAACTTGATTTTCACTACAGGGGGACTTTAAATAAAATATCTCCTTTTGAATTGGACTTTGAGCTTTGTAACTTTGCGGATCTTTTTTATGCTCAAACAGCAACATTACAGACTAACTAAAGCTGAAAAAGTGAAAAAGCATAATAGGACCCCTTTAAGTATCTTACAGGTTGGGAACTACTGTGCTAAATGAACACCTAAAGATATTTTGTCATTTACCCTTCAGGACTATGTGGGTTATCTGGCTGCTCAGATCAAACAGGAGGGCGATGAAGAGTTTGTTATTGAGTGCTTGGGTACAATGGCAAACCTCACCATACCTGTGCCGAACGACAATTGCATCACAGATCACATTTCATTTTTCCAGTGAGGAGAGTGAGTCGAGCTGACTGACAAGAAGAGTGGGGTGAGACGGACAAGACGATCGCGGATGATTTAGTTTCTAAACGAAATGCAAAAGCGCCTGTTTGGCAGTGTTTTGGATTTTGAAAAGCCTGTTGACTTTTGCCATTTATCTAAGGTGATTTTGGAAGTTTTTTTAGGGGTAATATGATGCGATTTCAATTTTTACTTTTTCTTTGGTGTGTTACAAGCTCTTGGTGCATAAAGAAGATCTGTACAGTTGCAAAGACTAAAGTCTCAAATCCAAAGAGATATTCTTTATAAAAGTTAAGAGTCAGCCACACCTACCTAAAACGGCTCGTTCTAACACGCCCCCACATGTCTACGTCACGATGTGGGAAGATTTGCATAACGCCGCCCAAATGTTCACGCAAAGAAAGAAGGCGTAACTTTTATTCTCGCTGTAGTATTGTTATTGTTGCTGCCGCCATGTCGTGAAGGCGCTGTGTGTTTCATTGTGAAAGCGAAACTACTTTGTTTGGCCTTCCAAAAGAGGAAGATATCTGCTTCGTCATGCCTAGAGCTGATCCGTGCTGGTCGCTGAGGAAATACATCAACTTCGTGCTGTGGATTGCCGGATCGGCTTTCACAGTGGACGAAGCGGAGTCCAGCCCGGGGTCGTCACATGTGGTTGCCGCAAGCCTGCCCGCTGCCGCTCACTCTATCCCGCCGAGTGTGACGCTGTGTTTCGTTGTGAAAGAGTTTTGACGTTCTATTTTGTTATTGCATTCAAGCAATTGATGCCGAATTGACGCTAATTCGAACGCTAAAGTGAAAGTAAAATGCGCACTGTGCTTTTAAGCTATTTAAAAGCGAAGGAAAGCAAGGAATAGAGGGAAAATTCAAGAGAACTAAAAACGAACAATTGCTTTACGCCGAATTGCCGCTATTTGAAAGTGAAAGTAAAATGCGCACGCTGCTTTTGCAAGCTATTTAAAAGTGCAGGAAATCGAGGAAAAGAGGCAATGCCCCTGCCCCCACGGTGATACCGGTATTATCGGTGTTGTCACACGTCGATTAACCGGTGGGAAAGTTTCCTCACCGTCACAACCCTAATGAGTAGTTGACACAAAATGTGCCTTTTTTATTGACATCAGGATGTTAGATCACAGACTTTACAAGTTTTTCGTAATTTTTCGTCACCTTTTGCCTGTTCATTAAAAGGTCCTGTGTGTGACACAATTTTTAAAGAAATACAAATAGTCTGTGTAGTCTCCTAACTACTATGAACTCACAAAACTGTATGTCAAATTTTTCAGAATGCTGTTTAAAAGTTTTAGATGGAGTATTTCAAATGACCAATTTCAAATTTCCATAATTATCTAATATCAAGTATTCATAAACTTTAAAGGGGTCATATGATGCTTTTTTAAAGATCATTATTTTGTGTATTTGGTGTAACAGAATATGTTGACATGCTTTAATGTTCAAAAAACACATTGTTTTTCAAATACTGTACATTATTGTAAGTCCTCTATGCCCCGCCTCTCTCAAACGCTTCGTTTTCTACAAAGTCCCTCCTTCCGACAAGCTCAGTCTGCTCTGATTGGCCAGCTGACCCAGTGCATTGTGATTGGCCGAACACCGCAACCACTCGTTGGAAATGTACCCTTACCATAATCGCGAGCTTCATCTTTCAAAATAAATGTAAAGACAGTAAATAATGTCATTAGTTTTACCATCAGTTCAAGCCCGAAAGGGGAACAGAGTCGCGTGTTAGTCTTTGCAACTTCAGGGATCTTATCTATGCACAATCAGCTTGTAACACTCCAAAGAGAAAGGAAAACTTGAAATCGCATCATATGACCCCTTTAAACTACATCCTATTTTGTTAAGGTTGTTTGTGAAACAATATCCAGTATGAAACCTTAACATATTAATCTGCAGTGTAGTACAATGTGCTACATCACATTACCTCACATTTATGAGAGATGTCCATTTTTAATCCCAAAATAAATATTATCATTTTGTTTCTCTTGTAATCCAATTTTGTGTAAAAACAGCCGAACTTTTCACATCAACCTCATTTATTTGTTACAATTAAATGAAACAAATTATTAAACACATTTTTCCAAAGGTAGTAAGTCATCCATTGGCATTTCTTATTGGAGTAGTATGAAAAAACATTTTGCATTATGCTAAACCAGATTTGACCTTTGACCTGTGTTTCAGGCTCAGCAGAGGATGACCTGATCCTGGAGGTAGTGATCATGATCGGTACGGTGTCAATGGACAACTCTTGTGCCGTCGTGCTGGCTAAGTCTGGCATCATTTCTGCTCTTATTGAGCTGCTGAATGGTAAGCGCGCTGCCAACATTTACACACATTCATTAGCATTGAGCCAGAGGATAAGTGCTTAAAGAAACAAACGCTTCTCCAAACCCTCTCAACATAAAATCTTTTTCATTATCGCTAGCCATAAAAATAAATCAGATCAGTGCTGTTTTGATTTCTACTTTTGTTTGGCTGAATCACAACAGCTGCCCCCCTGCTTTGCGTGTCTGTAGCCACTCAAGTACCAGATTTCAATTTGGCATGCTTTGTCTTCCCTAATGTGATCTGATGAAATGAGTTTATTTAGACTAAACTAATATTAAATTAGAATAAATAAACAGCCCATGGCTGCGTGGGACACAGAGGGCTGGTTCTCGCTTTATGCATTATGTGCTGGGAAGTGACAGTGTTTTCAGGAACAGGAAAGCACCAGGTTCATGGCATGCATCAGATTTGCTGGTTCTGCTCAATGTGAGCCCTCATTTCAATAAATGCCTGATGGTGAGGCTCTTCCTTGCCATGAAAAGAATACATGTTTATGGGGCCAAGGAGGTGGAGGGCCAAGAGAGCAACCGTCCCAACATATACAGCTCCTCTCAAAGAGAAAAAGAAAAGAAACTTGTTTCTTTTGAATTGGCCACTTTTTTCCCACTCCAGACACAATTACATGAAATTCAACATCTGAAATGTTTTTGCACTACATGCCATATAATATTTTATAACTTTGATCACAACAATGCAGTAACAAATCTGACATTTGTTTTCCCCGCGATAAGCATTATGTGGCAACGCCGCATTGACAGATGCTTGGGTATTGTTTTATTTATACATAACGTTTCAGCACTTGTGTTCGTATACCCATTCATTGGCTCTTTCTCATCTGAAGAGGTGCTGACATGTTCTCTTTGATGTTATTTGTAGCTTGTGCAAAGCTTGTACAGCTCCTTGCGGTAGCGGTATTCAGTTTCTGGTCCCATGGAGCAGCTAGCCTCTTTGCTATCATTCTTCTGGAGGAATTTCGATCCCAGGGGACGAGAGCATTCTGAGCCAGATCAAAATTGAAATAAAGGCTTTTATTAAAGTTAGGAGGGGGCAGCTACAACCGCACAGTTCTCCATAGGAGCTTTCTGTATCATTTCAGAGGAAAAGTTGATACTCTCCCCAAATGGCGGCTTCTCACGAGAGCCTTCATACATAAACATGATCCACCGGAGGAGGTTTTGAACGTCAGCTCACATGAACAGGCTCCATCGGATAGGAAATGCCTGCGCAGCTGCACTGGAGTGTTCGCGTTTGTTGGTTTGCCGTATCGCTTTACAGCTTAATGCTGACGTGCAGATATTCTCGTGATAAGGAAACGATTGTGCCTTCATATAATAATATGTCTGTGAGGAAACATTATTGATCCAATCCTTCATACGAAGCAAAATGCTTTATTTCGTGAGGTCAAAGTAATGTTCTTCATCTGTTTGTGTTGCTGTTTTCAGCCCAACAGGAAGACGATGAATTTGTGTGTCAGATCATCTACGTTTTCTACCAGATGGTCTTCCACCAGGCCACCAGAGATGTCATCATTAAGGACACCCGTATCCTTGTTATAATAAATAGATTTTCCATGTATAGGCATGTTTATCTGTGCAGATGTTTTGTAAATGGTCCTGTGTTCACTGCTGCGTTGATACTGTTGGGCTCTTCAGTCTTAATTTGTTCTTACCTTTAGCTGCAGTATTGATTATTTTCACATCTAGACAGAAGGAGAAAAAAAAACCTGAGTTTGACTGCACTGTAAAAAGTGGCAGGATATAATTGTTACCCTACGGATCTATTTATACTTGATCTGATCCAAAAAATGAACTAATGTAGTCTGACTTAATGTAGTTCGATTGATTCAGACATATTAAATGCTATTTTTGATGTTACACCACAAAGCACTTTTTAAAGGTTTCATGACAAGACATTTGACAGTACAATACTTTAATGCCTCTGGGGTAGACCTACATCCAGACCAATATCAGACTGCCTAAGACCAGACCAGTGGGACTCAAATGCAGACAATGCCATTTTTATGTGGTTTCACAAAGTCTAAAGACCAAGACCACAAAACTGAAGACTTCAGCTCCAATACAAGATATTTGCCAGATTTTGGTTGAAATTATTGTAATCATATGGCAATTTTACACTGAGCTGTTGAGCTGTTCACACCCTCACACTCAGTTGTTCTTTCTTTTTAATAAATAATTATTTCTATGGCAAGGATGGCCAAAATGGGTCCATGTGTGGCTTTATTGTTAATAACGGCAAACTACTTCTCTACATTAATAATGCTAAATACTGTCTAATAAATAATAATTATTAATAATATGAATAATTATATCACTGCATTAATACACTTAAGTGCACATTCTAAATATTTAAGAATGAAGACTGTGCACTAGGAATAGCTGGCTAAAATAAAATTTACAAATTTGCAGGTTTTTACATGGCATGATAAAATGTGACCCTGGAGCACAAAACCAGTCTTAAGTCGCTGGGGTATATTTGTAGCAATAGCCAAAAATACATTTTATGAATCAAAATTATAGATTTTTCTTTTATGCCAAAAATCATTAGGATATTAAGTAAAGATCATGTTCCATAAAGATATTTTGTAAATTTCCTACTGTAAATATATCAAAACTTAATTTTTGATTAGTAATATGCATTGCTAAGAACTTCATCTGGACAACTTTAAAGGCGATTTTCTGAATATTTTGATTTTTGCACTTTCAGATTCCAGATATTCAAATAGTTGTATCTCGGCCAAATATTGTCCTATCCTAACAAACCATACACCAATGGAAAGCTTATTTATTCAGTGTATAAATCTCAATTTAAAAAATTGACCCTTATGACTGGTTTTGTGGTCCAGGGTCACATATATCAAGACTTTTCTCTTTGATGTAGATGGGAAGATTTTTCACTGACTGAAACTTGTAATAATGGTAATTGAGACGCCACGATTATTAGGCTTTAATTGTCAATGAATTGTGAACTCCTTAACCGTATCTCAAAGAGGCCCCAGCTTACCTCATCGACCTTATGCACGACAAAAATGTGGAGATCCGGCAGGTTTGTGACAACACTCTGGACATTATTGCCGTAAGTATCTACAAAATACCCCACTACATATGAGCACTCAAATCCAAATCGGAGACTTCAGTGTGTGTGTGTGTGTGTTTGCTCAATCCTGATGTTTACAGTGCCGATAAGATCTCTGCAGTTAATGCCCACTCACTGACATTAGATAGCAGTAATTGGTGGTGAACTCTTAAGAGGCAGGTTTGTTTGGGGAAGTGTTTCATTCACTTTATTAGCCTGCTCGTTAAGCCTCGGCCACATGAAAGTGTGCGTGTGGGATCTGGTTTGTATCCGTGGTGACAGAGAAAGTGCAGATGTATAGCTCTGGCTCCATAGACTGACATGTTTGACATTGATATAAAGTATGCAGATTTACATTTTCATCGGCCATTCTATGAAAAAGACTTTTTCCACTTAAGGTAATTTTACAGTAAGTTTTATAAATAAATATACATTTAAAAAATTTTACTCAAGCTAAATTAATTTATTAATTCAGATTATCATGGTAAATATACCTTCAGAAAGGTAACAAAATTGTCCGTTTTGTGGATTAATTTACACTGCAAAAAAATGCTTTTCTTACTTAGAGTTTTGTCTTGTTTAGTTCAAATTCTTAAATCAAGAAGCATTATTTGAAACTAAAAAACAAGATTATTATGCTTACCCCATTGGCAGATAATTTTGCTTGTTTGAAGGTAAAACTCACTTAATTTTGACTTATTTTTTTCTGAAAACAAGACAATAATTTTTTACTTGTCTAGAAAATGCTTCTTGATTTAAGAATTTTTCGATATTTGGACTAGAAACAAGACAAAAACTCTAAGTAAGAAAAGCACTTTAGACATTCTGCTGTCTATAAGTCACTTTTACATTGACATGTAGTTACAAATGTACTTATAGTTAGTAGAATGTCTAAAGTGGACTATCAAAATAAAGTTTAACTAATTAATTTGACATTAAAAGCTTTGCTTAGATACTTCTACAATCAGTTGTCACTTACTGTTGACAAACACACAGCAACAAATCATAAGATAAAGTAATAAATTAAAGGAGACTACTGTAAAATTGTGAAAACATTTTTTTTATATATATGAGATGGTTAAAAAAGTTGACAGCCTTGGGTGCAAACTTCAAGTCTTTTTATTTATACATTATTTAAATTTAAAAAATATATAATAATAATAAAACAAAAACAACATTTGATTAGATATTGATTCTGGGATTCATGATCCAATTTCAAAACAATTCTCAATGCTCGCATCTAGGCATGGGCCGGTATGAGATTTTGACGGTATGATAACCTTAAGCATGTTTCGTTTAAGCATCACAGTTTCACGGTATTGTAGTTATTGCTCTAAAATGTGTTATTTTTAAATGACTGGGTTCCACTGAACACAATATATTTTGTTTTTGAGAAACATACAGAATATTAGGAACAGTATAATTTGTTTATTTTTTCTTTGATTTGTTTCCTAAAAAGAAGAAAAATAAAGACTGACATCTTTATTTAACCTAAATCTGTAATTACAGTTATTTAATTGTAGTTATATAATTCATATACATATCATTTATATCATTTCATATCATTTAGTTATATAATTTCATATACATAATTTTATTTAATAATAACCCAATTTGAAGCAAAAACAGAATGTTCTGACTAGCTTTGTGAAATTATACTACATGCCTGAACGAAACAAACAGATGCTCTGAATGAGATGCAGATTCACTCTCTGACAGCAGGAGGCGCTTCTGGAACACCAGATACAGCGTTTCCTTG